CGTCAGCTAGCAATTTACCGTACCCCCTTGGCACAGGCACGAAGGCCTCTGATTGCACGTCAGTACCTCTGAAGCAGCACAGAGCAGAATGCAACGTGATGGACCTGGACAGTCAGAAAAACCTGGGTGGCTGATGTGGCAGATTCGGGGCAGCAGACCATAAACCATAAGGTTTTTATGTACTCACTGCCTCTTGGAATGCCAAGCTATGTAATGATGGCATCATCATCCCATGAAACCATGCATGATGTAGAATTTATTCGAGTGGCTGTCATGTTTCCTGCCCTGCTACACACAGCTAGCATCAGGAATTTGTTGTTGTGGGTTCTGTGGGTGAACATGCAGCTGGGCAGCACTGAAGGCTCTGGGCTAGTGAAAATGTTCTGATTTGCAGGACATGGCAATTGGCTCTGACTTTTCTTCCTCTGACTCGTTATTCTCTGACTCTCTTGCTCTCTCAGTCTCCCTCTCTCACTTCTGTTCGTTCTCATTTTTCACTTTCAGCTAATGATGCTGGACGACTGACTGGTTGGCTGGCAGGTGGTTTGGTTGCATTGTGGTTATACTGCGGTTGTCGTGCCTGGAGGACCTACTTTAGAAATATATTGATGTTTGTCAAATGTGGTCCTTCAGCATTAATGAAAAATTGCACACAGCAACCAACGGAGCATTGCACATGGCTTACAGTAGTTGCTATAGAATACACTACATGCACTCATTGCTAAGGTTTGGAACAAAACATTGCCTAAGAAGGTGCATGTGTGATTGCTGCTCATCCTCAAATATTGAAAAATGAAGCCAAATTCACCTTCAGGGTAATAATGTTTGCTTGTTGATGCCATCTATCATTGGGATTGATGAAATCACTGTATGGCTTGGCTTCTTTAGATGTGCCAGAACTGTCAAGGACTGACGCACATTAGCAGATGGAGTCTGGCTGCATGCTCCTCTCACTCCGCCTCTCATGCTTTCTCTCTTTCGCGCTGTTTTCTTGTTCTGCAAGCAGCTGTTCATTTGGACTATGGCCTACCAGCTGAGACGATAGTGACAGTTGACCACTGCACCAGTTATGGATGGGCCAGTGCTTTACATTGGGGAGTAAGGGATCAATGCATGAATTATTGGAGCTGACAGATGGTTGCATGCAAAGGCTGATTCATTTTTCTTGGCTGCTGGCTGGCATCAGACTGTATGTTTTATGATATGTTCAATAATTGGCTTGAAACGTTTACAAAGTGGCTATTTTTTATGGGGGTTGTGCTGTAGGGTTGAGACAGAAACTGAAAAAGCAGAGGGCTGATTGCTGTGTGTGTGTGTGTGGAAACATCTTGTGTGATTAGTCACTCAGCAGTTATGTAAGATGAGCACCACATAATTTGTTCCCCTATTAGTGCTATGTTATGCTATCATCTCCTTCAGTAATGAGCAAAACAATGAAGCCCTCTTTGTTTCCCCTTCTCTCTCCAATGCTATTTTTCCTCATGTCACTTTTTTCCTTGTTACTCACTCTTTTTCCTGTTGTCGTTTCCTCTCTCACCCTGTCTCTCATTCATAATCTCCTCTTCTTAAGTTAATTATCTGCCTTTCTTGCTCTGTAACTGAGCTTAATAACAGACACTTGAGAATACGGTAAAACAGAGCCAGCCAGTGATCTGCACTCTAATCATAGTCTGTTTTGTAAAAGTTTGTTTCCTCAGCTTCCATGGTCAGCAGTGTAAAGATGTCCGAGTTAGTTTCGGAGAAAGAATAAAAACAGAGAGGCATGTAGAGCAAGAGTAAAGGCACTTGTTTTCCAAGGAAGCTGATTGTTTAGAATACCTTTTTTGTTTTGCATTACCTGAGCATATGGAAAGGTGAGAGAGGGAAGGAGGCAAACTAGACCAATAAAGCAGCAGGAGAGATGTGGCATTGTGCCTCTTTCTGTTGCCTACACCCTGCAAGTCTTAAATAGCACAATTTGGAATCCATCCTATAAACAATATGGATAGTAGGTTCTGATAAAGATTGAAAGGCCAAAGTTGTGGAGAGGCTTAGGAAAGAGAACAACAGAACAAAACACCCTATACTGTGCTGGAGCAAAGGTGAAGCTCTATACTCTATATACACACACATGCATATCCAGACACAGAAATACCACCATCACTACAAAGAATGACAGTGATTACATTATCATGAATAGCACACACACATACACACACTGCACATTCTCATGAATGCACGTCAGTCTGTGTTCCCTGTGCTTTAGCTGGGACTGTGAAGTCTTAGATTAACACATCATTCCATATGTCAGACATTATGGCCTTAAAGTTTCTGAGCTCCACCAGCCGCACATCTGTGTGTGTTTTGTAGCACATCTTTCCTCAGCTGCCTGGAAGTGAAACCGTAACGCACGGTGACTGTTTTTGTTATTAAAATGAAGCTTTAAAAAAAAACTTGGCAAGCTGATGAGGTTCCAGGAATAATGAGATCAAATCACAGTTTTTGTATTGATTGTATTCAATATGTATATTGTTTTGTAAGGAATAAAAACTATGCGGTAATGTACTGTACCATCAGGGGACAGTATCTCTGTGAGTTTATCTCTCTGACCTTGGCTGGTCTCTGCCATGGTTCCCAGCGGGCCACTGGGTGGACTCCCTGTTAGCTGTCATAATGACCTCATTATGATATGCCCAAACAAACAGACACACACGCACACAAGATAAGCTGGGAACAGGTGTTTGATTTCACTTTGGGCTGAGCCTGCTTTGCTAACTCCCAAATCAGCCTGCAACCACCTGTCTCAATACTGGAAGCACACAGTAGTTGTTATCATCTCAGCTGAAACTATTATCTCATCTTACCATCTGGATGGCAGATTATTCTGTTTTGCTTTCAGCTAACTTACAGCACTTAGGTGATAGTTTTCAGATTAAAGGTTTTTTGAAAAGAGAATATCAGGACTGATAACAGAAGGAGTCAGGTCGTACTGTTTTGCACCAGTTTGGATATCTGAGCTCAGCCAAACTGTCACATATAGAGGTTTGTGTGTGTATATGATTATGCACTTGTGCATGCACATATAGCCTGTTTGTCCAGGTGTGCATTGAGATGAGATTTGCCAGCCTATCTACCCACCACTTCCCACTATTAAATGCTATTTAAGAACCAGTCTTTTAATATGGTCAATAGAAGCGCTATCACCTGTTTAAATACATATTCTTTTAGTTTCTACTGTAATAGTGTATCTTATCTAACTTCCTACTAAAGTGATATGGAATGAGATTTCTGATAGTAGTAGTGTTTGTTGTTAAGGCTTTTGTGTGATTTTTTTTTCTTGCACACCTGGGCAAACGACCTTGCTGATCTACCACTTCTTTATGAACGAGTATAATGATGGCAGGAAGGCATAGACACATTCAGCTAACAATTAATTAAAGGAGAAGAGGCCTTTGGGAAATCTGTCGAAGGGTACATTTATTTGTCCCTTGACAAACAAAACGCACACAAAGAGACCTATGTATGTATGTATATGCTCATCAGGTTGTCTTCCTCCGCCTGCATTAGTCTGATGCTCTTGGACCACAGAACACTCTCCTGGGGACAGTACAGACACAAGAAGGCCTGCTCTCTGTATAACCACATAAATAATCCGGCAGGCATGGGGAAACCCTGTTTATCTCGTTCTTTGAACTGTCTTGGCAATATTCTAAAATAGCATTGCCAGCTGGTTACAGGAGTTGTTAAATCTTTTCACATCAGGACAGCAAGCAAATACAGTACTTCATCTTTGATATGCAGGGAACCAGAACCTTGCATAAACCAATTTCATACCATTCCACAAAAAGCACAAGGAATATAAAGATTTTTGCAGATAAAATATTCCAAGGATTCAAAAGGGGAAGGGATTGTAAAGAGGTGATATTTACTTCATCCTGCCTACTTTAATCCTCTAATTAACAAGCAGAGTAATGAGTGGATGAAGTGACTGATTAGTTGACCTTTGACCCCTAAACTCTGACCTCTGCACCTTCCCCACTACATGCTGCTGATGGACAGGGAACATCTTTATTGTACCGGCACTCTTTGTCTTGTGGGTGAGGAGGTGCAACAACAACAGATAAATCAGTGAGCGCCAGAAAACTTAAACAAACAAAGGGGAAAGGAAAGACACTAAAATTGCAGAGAGAGATCTGTGTCACCTTGTGCTCCAGCGGAAGTTTGTTTAAGGCCTTTGAGAAGAAACGAGACAAGAAAGAGGATGTAATGTGAGATGGTGATAGTGTGCAGTGCAGCCGTATCAAATCAG